GACTCCGGGGCCAAAGTTGTACTACCCCCTTAACTGGGCCAGGTCGGCATCATCCAAGACCGACGCTGTATTCCAGGCCGTCGTCTGGCTCGATGTCGCCTAAACTCGTTCAGGCCGACGCCAGAACCCGGGAGGAGGTACCATCGCAGCTTCGAGGGTGGCATCGGTAGTCGCGTCTCGCAGTCCCATGGGAACACATTCCCGACCTCCGATATCGCTCCGGAGGGTCTCGTCCACCAGATCTTGATCGATGTCAGAATCTGAATCCATAAAGTCGACGTCAACAGAGTCCACATCGGCAGCGGTCGATTGGTTTAGGTCGGCGCCATTGCCCCCACGCAACGGAGCCAGAGGAGGGCGAGACTCGTCGGCGCCGTCGCCACCAGAGGTGGTCGCGGCCGTCGAGCAATCCGATCGGACCACAGAGATCGGAGTCGCCGCGAAAACGATGTCCGCAGCTGGAGAAGGCGGATGAGAGGCCAAGTTCTCGACCTTAACCGCCGTGTCGCCGGAGGAACTACCGCCTTCACCCGGAAAATTGGTGCCGGCGGCAAATTTCGAAAGTGAAGACATCACAAAAGGAAAGATAGCGGAATTAACGAGAGGAATAGAAAAATTATCGAAGAAATTCATCGGAGAAGGGCTCGAGAAGATCGCAAAGGGAAGCTCTTGCACTGAGGACACCACGAGTTTTGAAATCGAGAAAACCGAAAAGTTCTATAGGCTTACCGAGATCCCAAATATATAGATTGGGCCGTCCAATAAGGTGTAGACGCGTGTACAAGTGGATGGGTTTGAAATTCAAAATGAAAAAGAAAGCATCTTGAGGAAGCCAACCGACACTCCTATTCAAAACACTTGGTCAGGGAACCGCCACGTGTCGCCCGCGTATGGTCGCAATTAAGACGTGTCCCTTCAGCTGCTGTCACTAGCATACACGGAAGAACTCCAAGTATGGCGGAAGTGTCGACCTCGAGAGCAAACCAGGTATGACCCCGACGGGCCCAGCTCGGATTCAGGCAATTAACAACGACCTCGGGAGAGGCACGGCGGGCCTCACTCAAGCTCGGGGGCCTGTATGTTGGTATCTGGGTCGGGCTCATGAGAAGGTAACGATCTGGAAGACTGGGAACCGGGCGAAGCCGGCCCGATCGTTGGGGCCGATTACCAAGTTAATTCGTAGGTGCCGATCTGGACATAGGTCAAAGTCAATAGGAGCGGCGGACGGCATCGTTCCCGAGGTCGGCACCTTTGTTCCCTCATTATGGAGCCGGCCTGATTAAGTGCCGTGCGAAGATGGGATCTGGAAGACCGGAGGATGGACAGGGTACCAGAGCCCGACCCGGAATCCTACCAGGTCGGCCTCCATAGGAGTTAAGGATCCAGGAAACAGTAAAATGAGGCCACTTGTCAATCAATGATTACCGATGGGACATCCCGGACTAGCCTACAGGTCTAGGATGTCTAGCCCGGCCAGGGAGCATGCTCGCATTTAATGTAGCCCATACCAGCATTAAATGCCCGGCAGGTAATGATTGGAAGACCCACGAATTACTCCCAATCAGTCAGAGAAACGCCGGTCTGTCGTGCCTAGTTACTGTGCGACAAGACCCATGAACAGTATTTGAATAGTGTCGCATTTAAGGACCCTATAAATAGAGGCTTTGAGCATTCATTTTGGGTTGTTGAATCCCCAACTGTACTCATTCTACTTTCTCTCTCTAAGCTTGTAAGTAACCCGTGTAAGAATTTGTGAGGATATCGCAAGAGCCGACCTCGTGATAGATTAATAAAATCGTAATTAAACCGTATTTTCCTGCTTTTCTCCTACTTCACATTTCCTTTTCCTATTTCTTTAACTGTTGATCGGAAATGTCCGTCAACACTTTATTTGAAATTCTAAGTTTTATTTTAAATATATTATTATTTATTTTTTCTTACGTGGAAATGTTTATTCTTTATTATCTAAGTGATAAATATTATTGATTTATCTCTTTAATAAATGTTTATTGTTTATTTTTTTCCTTAAGTGATATAATCTAAATTTGGTTATTAGATTTTTAAATTCAAACATTTAAAAGTAAAGACCACAAGTAGATTTTTTGGGTACATGTTATTTTATCTTAACTTCTATATAATCACATTCCTAACAAACTAATTAATACAATTACAATTATTTAACTATAATTTTTAAAATATAATTAATATAATATTTTAACTAATTAAACTTTTGTCTAACCGAATTTATCTAATTAACAAACTTGCCAAAATTTTTAAAATTAAAATAGTAAGATTATTCTTACGGGTATACTTACCAGAATATTAAACACTTTAATAACTTTTTGAAAACAATTTTAATTATTCCATCTTCTACTCTATTTGAAATTCAAAATTAAAATTTTTAAACATATTCATAAACAAGCTAATTAGTATAATATTTTTTTACCCACGTTTACACAATCGTATTTCTTAAAATATAATTAATTTAATATTTTAACTATTTAATAATTTGTATAACTTGATTTAACTCATTAACCAACTTGCCAATTTTTTTTGAAATTAAAAAAATTTGGATGATTTTTATTTGTAAAATAATAAAAAAGAGCTTTACTTTAAAATCTGAATTCTTTCCATTATTTTTTGTACGTTAGCAATCATATAATGGATAATTGATTTAAAAAAAAAAATCAAAATCGTAAGGTTTAATAATATTTTCTAAATAAAAAATATTGTATAAAAAGAAGTGTTTAATAATATATATTTTTCATTGTTTGTATTTATTTTATTTTCATAATAGACGAGATGTGAAAAATATAAATAATTATATTTAAAATAAAGTCTAAAAAAAGGTTTAAAATATAAGCTCCTACGTGCACCGCACGGGATATACACTGATAAAAAAACTATTCAACTAAATTTTTTACAATAATAAAAAAAAAAAACTCATTCAACTGAAGTTTAACAAATAAAAAGAAACCATTCAACTTAAAAATGAAAAAAAAAATACAATTGATGCAATTTTCGATTGCTCTGTAATACGAACGTATGTTCCCACGCTTCGAGACAAGCTCGTTCTCCTGAGTCGACCCGCCAGACTCTCAGGAAAACGAGTCTGTCTCGAAGCGTAGGTGTAACACCCCGCCTTTTCTAACTTTTACCTACGAAAAACTAAGTAAAATTTTCGCTTTAGTTTTTGAAAGATGCTGATACTATTTTCGAAAAATACTTATACTTAACTAACTCTCGGGATGTTACTTACTTAATAACTAACTTCTTACTCTTTCCTTTTACTTATGCATGTACCAAAATTGATATTAAATCCAGCTAAAGAATATGGATAAGAGAAAATTAAACATGCATGCATACTAGTTCTAGGTTGACAGTACGGAAGCGTAAATAAAATACAGTACAGTCTGAAAATTATATTATTACATACCATCTTAAACATAAACATAAGTGAATATCCATCTGTCTTCGGACACCACCACACCACCGCTCGGCTCACGCTCCGGCTGGACTCCGTCACCTAAGAAAAACATAATGGGAGCGTGAGCAAAACCACTGGACTCCTGCTCACGTTTGTTTAGTGGATTTATTTAACTTATTATTATTATAATTTAGAAGTATTATTATAATTATTACAATTAATTATAATTTTTATTAGAAATTATTAATATAATTATTATAATTAATTCAAATTTATAATTATTATTGTAATTAGTATAATTAATTCTAATTATTATTAGAAATTATTATTTTAATTATTATAATTATAATTATAATAATTATAATTCTAATTTATAATTATTACTATAATTAATTATAATTATTATTATTATTTTATTTTATAATTAATTATATATTATAATTATTAATTATTATTATTATAAAAAAAATTGTCCGGCCGGGGCTGGTTCGATTCGGTCCGTCCGACCCCCGATCACGTACCGTTTTTCCGGTGTCTGGCCGCCGATTGCGAACAGCTGAGAAGTCGTGCGTCCGGCGGGGTCAGATGCCTTTTTCGCCGTCGAAGTGACGGCCGGACGGCGCCCCCGCGTCCGGAGGCGACGGCCGGACGCGGCGCAGTATAAAAAAAAAAAAGTACCTTGCTAGAGAAGAATGCTTTGCCAATAGGACTTTTTCGACATTTTTTCGGATTTTTTTGGACGCTCGAATGGCTCGTTAAAAGTGAGAGAATTTAGAGAGATAAAGAGAAAGGACAAAAGAGTAAAAGGAGGAAGGGAAGGGGCGGTGACTAATAATAGGGGGCGGTAAATAGTAAATGAGTATTAAAAACACTCTTCATTAACTCTGAGAAAAAGTGTCTAAGTCATCTTTATATTACAAATATTGTTGCAGTCAGTTTGTATTAGTATAATAGTATGCCGTAAGTTACACCGATTTATTCGAAGTACCATAAGTAAAAAAAGAACGGTAATAACTCTTTATGAAAGTATGCAAATTTATTCGTGACTAATCCACCCTAAATTGGACCGAGCCACATAAAACAACTGAGAAATGACATGTTTAAGAAGATGTAAAGGAAAATTTTATGCCAATAGTAGTTCAATTGCCGACGGCAACCCTACTAAGAATAATGTATTTCTAGTTATTTAAAGCACCATCTATCATTCTCCTCCACCTTTCCACCCTTTGCAGAAGGCTGTTAGACCAAAATGAACATATTCTTTGAAGCTTTTGGGCATTCAAGATTGGCTCAACCATTTCAATCTATGGATAGGGAATCTCACCCTCTTATCATTATTTTTTTCCTTCGATTTGTCTTTTGTTGTTCGAGTTTCAACCATAGAGCCCATAAAAAAGTAAAAATTGCCCACGGAAATTAGGACATAAAGTAAAAGGTGCCCTTGGAAATTAGGACGTGAGTTGATTCTTCTCAATGAGACAAAGAGATAAAAGACAAAACATTTGCGAGGTGAAAGTAAAAAAGGTTGGAGTCCGTGTAACAAGGAACCTTTTCTCTCGATAATAAGTGGAGCCAACTATCAGAATCACACATTTATCTTAAAATTCTTTTACTTTCTCCTTCATATAATCCAGTAGATAACACAACAGATCTTGATTATATATTCCACTAAAAATCAGCTCGAATTATTTGCCCCACACGGGGTGAAAAAGGGCAAGTTCGATTTTACCCGCGTAAGTATTTGTTTGTTACCGTTGGATCAAACACATTCTCACACTCAGGTGTGTGTTGATCTAACGGTAATAAACTCCATGCTGGCACTACCTAGAAGGGTAGGAACAGGTTATCGTAAAGAGATTTAAACAAGACCACAGTTGAAACAATTTTATGCTCCAATGTCATATTTTCCAGTCAGCAAGAAGAAAGGAACATTATTTTTCCACACTGAGTAATTTATATAAATAAATCCACACGCATCACCAGTAATAACTAAAGTGCCTCGAACCTAATCCTAATTATGGTGCTTTCAGAATATGTATGCTCTGAATTAGTCCAGTGGACTCAGACAGTTGCTTGTGGGGAAGAATTAGTCACGATTTCCTCTTTAGGAAAGCCAAAATTTTCGAACAGACCCTGAATTATTAGAGAAATAATGCATAAACAATCACAAACAGGTAATGAGTTGAGTCTGGAAGAATGAGGGCTTACCAGTGCATCATTGATGGCACAGGTCACACAATAATGCTCCTGAAAATTAAGAATTTAATTTATTTTCTTAGATCAAATAATTAACCAAAGATTTACAGTCTCATAAAATGGGTGTTCATGGAGGGGCGTATGCATAAATAGTAAAAATTGGAAAACCGCTGCCTGTTTGATTAAAACTAACCCATGAAAGTTTAGTCAATAAGAACATATTTAATTCTAAAATATAATTCAAGGCTTGTGCTCAATTTAGTTTCTTTTCGCAACAGCACCGATTCAAATCCAGTATACATGGACAGTCTGAAAAAATGCGACTGACCCATCCATAAGACAGATTTAAAATAATGCTAGCAATATATGAAAAAATAAATAAATAAAAAAGCAGCAAAAATGACACTAAAGTATTTGCCTGCATCATGTACCACTCTTCAAACTCATCAAATAGCTCCAGTCGTTCGATCCTAATCAGGTAGAAAAGAAGAATTATTAAACAGAAGAATCTGGAGTGGAAAAGAATTGACAGTTAAATACTTGCACATAGGCACTTTCTAACCATGCAAGCAAGATAGCTTTGGATCTCTGTAATGTAACTCAAACTTTGCAAACCAACAAATTTCCTATTTTCATTACCGAAGTTTCCAGACAAGCAAACGACATGATAGTGCAAATATCTTAAATCAGGACTCATGATGAGATCAAATCTAATCCTAGACACAATTTCATTTTCATCAAAATAGCTCTTGGTTTAAAACTAAACTCCAAGAGATACATCACATGAAATCATTAAATTAACGAGGTTTACATTCATCTGAGTTACTCCCTCCATCCTACAAAGATAGACAACAACACAATTTCGGGTGTCCCTAAAGATAGACATGTTACATTAAATATAGAGTATTTATAATGTAAGTTCCGTTTTTGCACTTAATAAATTAATAATTTTACCAATAAAATGAAGTCATGAAATATAATAATCATTACCCAGATGGTACATATGGACAGTACTTCCGCCTTATCCAACAGTAATGATCGTGTTTTCTTGAACTCTAGAGAAAATGTCATAAGTCTATCTTTGTGGGACGGAAGGAGTATAATTTTCCTTCCAATTCCAAGTTGGGATGATAAAAAAAATATTATATTATAGAGGTAATTGATTTATCAAGTATTAATCTATAGAATTCTACTCAATCCAGCATAAGTCCTTCAACATCAAGCAATTGTGTTGTACGTTTTCAACAAATAGGATGACAACAAAAGCATCTGCTTCTGTAGTTTCTTGCCAAAATTAGAAATATATGAACCTGCGTCTTTCTTCCGCTTCAATAAATGTTCTATAAACTTTCAGCATATCCCATGCAACAGCTTTCTGGGGAATCAAAAGCAATATTATAAGATAAGAGCAGTCAATCAAGTTCTAACAATGAAGAAAGAAAAAAAAAAAATAGAAGATACCGAAACGATATTCACATGGGGAAGCTTAGTAATTGCAATCTTTTCATGTCTATAATAAAACATAAACAAGACAACGAGCCTAATTACTGGACCATATGCACGAGCAATAATAATCCCAACTGCTCTCTCATATCCAAGAGACATGATTAATAACATAACTAAGCAATGATGATTTAAAAATTAAAAAATGAGCTATCTTTTTAGAAATAAACCCTAAACCAGAATTTAGGTAATACCTATTTCCTTAAACAGCCTACTCACTTAGCGGAAGTACCGAGCCAATTTCCTTTAATGGAAGAGTCATTGTTGACAATTCTCCTGGCATAGTGCTAATAATGGACTAGATCAAAATGGCTCAATTAAATTCTAGTGCTTCTTCTATTAGTGAAGTTTCTAGAAAAAAAAAATATATCAAACGGCGCAATGCACCTTGGGTCGCTACGGAAACAGCCTCCTTGTATAATTACAAGGGTAAGGTCTGCGTACAACTGACCCCCAGACCCCAACCTGTTGGGAATATACTGGGTATGTTGTTGTTGTTGTTGAGTATGCCCATAAAAATGTCCTTCACTGGTTCATAGCATACCTCGTATGTCAAACAGCTGTATTTATTAGGAGAAATAAAACCCCACTTTACCCTAATTAGACGAACAAATTTGTATAAGTTTTTTTTTACCTTGTCTACGAAAGTCTGCAAACTCAGCCATATGAGATGAGGTTCAACTGAAGTTTTAATTTTCTAACCAAGGACGTACACAAAGAAAATACACTAAAAATGCTCTAGCTGTTGTCTTCTCTTCTTTTTCTTTTCATTTAGAAATAAAAATGAAAGGTAAGTATTTTAGGGACCTTTGAGGTGTTCATACTTGAATATCATTAAGAAAACTATCAAGCTATTCAAGTAAATTTAAATAATTCTTCTCCAAGTTTGTTTGTTCACATGCAAAATAAAATGTGAATTTTTTTCATCGATCAAATAAATATGGGGAATACAAATGCAGTGGAGAGACATCTTACATAACTTGGGAAACATGGGTTTGAAATCTTGAAAAGAAAATACCTGCCATCCTTGATCAAGAAAAAGCCTCTCCTTCGCATGTAAAGTTGGAGTATCGTAGATGCCCAACAATGCACATCCTCGACTCTGTCGTGAAAACCCATTTCAATCAACAAACAAGTTAAACTTTTTTCACAAATCATATTAATTATTATTTAATTTCTTTCCAGATGAGAATACAGTAACATCCTCTCTCTTTCCTAGGCTCGAGAAGAGTGAAACAGCAAAGTTACATTAGCACAGAAGTATGAAACAACAAAGTTTCATTACCACAGAAGTATGAAACAGTAAAGTTTCATTAGCACAGTATAATTGACGATGAGGATAATATGAAAAACTCAAGTCTATTTTAATGTGACGTTATCCCAAAGGAGAGAAGCACATTAAAAATCAAGAATACAAACAAAACAAAGAATAATTAGATTAATCCACTTAGTAAAGAGCAAGATCAAGGTTATTAGAGGAAGAAAGTGTAAATGACCCCACGAATTGATATATCAAACCACACAACTCCTTTGACTAATCAGAAGTTATTTTCAGCACAACGGTTGGAGCCCTGAAGTTGGAATGGACCATTCAGTTATTGACTGAAAAAAGTGTAAATGACCCCACGGATTGATATATCAAGCCATATTTGGAAGTTACTTTCAGCACAACTGTTAATGGACCACAAAAATCAGCTATCCATATAAAAGATATTCCCTAATCAAAATCTCTCAAAGTTATAAATTCCATACTAATTTCTCTACACGCCATTATCTTTTCAAAGATCTCTTATCCAACATCTCTCAAAGCAATTTTAGCATTTAGCTTTTTTATTCCCAAGGCAAAACTTACTCCCTCCGCCCCCAAAAAGATAATCCACGTTTCCATTTAAGGTGTCCCAAAAGGATTTTCTTGTTGCCTTAAATAGAGTACTTAATAGATTAAACAACCAATTGAATAGAGTCAATATTAATTTAGTATAATTTTTCCTTTCCAACAACCATGACTGTACTTTCTTAGGATGTGTCTTATGCCTATCTTTGTAGTATGGAAGGAGGAGTTCTAATAATAGTTATTTTGCATCGTAAGCTGAATTCCTGTATTTCTCTCATACTGGGATAATTATGTGACAAAGAAGTGTTATCCAACTGGGGGAAAAGGATATTAAATTATGTTGAAGACAACAACACTAGTTTTCGTTGTTCAAATTCTAATTATTACAAGCTAGATGCAATTCTTAAGAAAAGATAATTGAAAGTGCAAGAAAACGTGATAATACCTCCAGATTCATTATCATTTGTTGCCCAAAAGCATCATCAGGATGTATCTGTTGGCAGAAAATATGTATTGTCAGGGCACTATGAGGAAAATAAAATCAAGTAGCCACAAAAAGCAAAGATAATACAATAGTTGAAACAAGAACTAACGTAGCAAATCACAAAAGAAAAATAAAATGAAACCATGTTGAAGAACAGAGGAAAGAGAAGTTCAATAACCTGCTCATATAAGAAAAATATAGCTGTAGAAAATGTTCTGGAAGCCCATCCAACTATATCACGGCTGGACCCAGGATCTAAGTATATAAGAACACATTCTGCAATAATAAAAGTCGGCAAACTGATAATAGCATTAGAACAACAAGGCTAAATGATAAAAGTCGACAAAGTGATAATAACAATAATGTCCACAGAAGACAAAGCCAAAATGCAGATTTTTGTTGATATTGAATGATTGAATCAAATGCACATACCTTGGATCCATGCTAGCCAATAAAATTATATCATCAAGTTTTTCAATATCACGCAGGTCGACAGGGAGAAGTTTGTAGTGATCTCCCAGAACTTCTCCTTTCTCTAAACAAGTTCAGACTGTCAGTTCATAAAATAAGAATATAATCATATTGAGCTAAAACAACTACCAGTTCCAATATTAATATGTACGGTGACAAATGTGAATGCAATCACACTTAAAAATACAACGTACTATTATAACAAGCTACCAAAATTTTAAATCCAAACCTATATTCTTTAAAGAACTACTAGGATGATTTGAGATAGTATATTGTAAATACATAATTATCTTATTACATGATAAAATATTGGCATTCCTTCGAGGATATTTTCATGAGAAGTTATATGTTGATGTTCCATGCATTTAAAAGGTAATCAATTATCTCATCACGAATGCAAGTTACAGAAAGTAAGAGTTGTATGCTGAAAATTCCATAGTATTAAATGCGAGGATCTTCAGTTCAGCAGCCAAATTATTCTTACCTTGTGAGATTGATGCAGCTTCACCAACCTTGCTCCTCAACTGAACCGAGTTCCATACAAGAGCAGCTTTCTTGCTTGTCACCTATAAAGCACCACAATATGAGAGAGAGAGAGAGAGAGAGAAAGAGAGAGAGAGAGAGAGAGAGAGAGAGAGAGAGAGAGAGAGAGAGAGAGAGCCACTATACAGAAGTTTCAGTTAAGAGGCTTCGCCACTACAAGTAATTACTATCTGTACAGATGGATAAGCTCAAAGCAGAAGCATCATTGTCAAACTTAGTTAACTTTTATGGCTAACAAAAACAAATAAAATGAAAAAGAGAGGGAAAGGGGAAGGGTTAAACAATTACGAGAAAACATAATTTCTACCTCTTTGAAATCTAATTCCACATACAGATAAGGTGCTTTCCCTTCGTCCTGTAAAGAAAAACAATTCACATGAAGGAGCATGATCTTGCACCTGATTGGTTAAGATAAATATATTAGTGCATCCACAAGAGCATTATTATAAATTCGGGGATCCACTACTCCACATTATTCCTTTAGGGTGTGCTTGGATACAATATATATCCAATCAACACAAATTATTTTGGTTAACCAGGGTTAATTTAAAAAAAGGTGAGATGGTTAGTTGTTAGTGGGATTTTGAGTTTATATTGAAATATGTAAAATAAAATAATTAAAGTTGATTTGATGTAAAAGTAGGAGAGAGATGATATGAAGTGATGGTTAGTTAAAATTATGCGAATAGATGAAAAGTGAATTAAAGTTGATGTTATGTGTAAGAATGATTGATTGGTATTATTTAATTATATTGACTATATTGATTAATAATATTGAGGACAGTGAGATTAAGTTAAAGTTGTGTTAAATTTTGAGTATGGATTGAGTTTTTTAATAAACAAACAAACTAATATCCCACATTCCACAATCAAATATCTGAGCACCTAAAAATCAGCTGGTTGCTTTATTAGAATTAAAGCACTTTAAAAAAAAATAATAATAAATAAAATAATAGTAGTATAAGAAATGATGAGATAAATGTTTGGAGCCTAACTTAATGCTCTAGTATTGCCATTTTCACACGAGATATTATTCTCCACAATGGTTGGGAAGACATTTTGTTGGGACTAAAAGGCTATGTTGTTGATGTTGTTGTTGTAATGGTTGGGAAGACATTTTGTTGGAGGCATTTGGTAAACATCTGACCAAATGCAACGTATAGTGGGAGCTCTAGAGAAAATATCAATAGAAAGCAGGGGTAGCAAAACTATAAACAAGCAAAGGTACCAGGTGTCTGAAGATGCATAGCGTAAACTAGCCAAAAGTTGCTTGTACGAAATAAAAGTATCACAATGGAAGGATCCATCATATTCATTAGCAGCAAGGAAACAAATAATATATCACATGAAAATTCCAGCACCTGCAATTGGAAAAATGTAGTATCGAAGCCAGCTCCAAGAGACAATATTTGCTTCTTGTTTTTTTCATCCATATTTTCCCCACAGTCAAGGAACTCATAAAGAAGCTTCCTAAGAGCCGCATACCGAGCAAAATATCCTATCACGTATAAGACAATAAAGAAAAACATTATAAATGAAAAGAAACCAAATCAAGCATCACAACTCTAAATTGCTACTGAAAGTAAGGGAAACATCTGAATCATACCACGGTTAATTATGGGGGATCTCCTCACAGGCCTTTTAACGAACAAATGGATGTAGTCATCTTTCATATATCCTTTCTTGACGCAAGACCTTTAGCAAGAGAATCCAGGAGCAACTAGTGAGAGTTAATAAAGTTGAATAGTGATAGCACTGCTCACAGTGTATATGTGACAAAAATAAAAAGTTATAGAAAACTACATATACACTGAGATGGATATGCACAACCATACAACAACAAAAGGGTTTTTGGGTTTCTTGCAATTAATGGACTATTTTTATCTAAAAACTCACGGTATGTTTCATAAGTAGCATAAGCATACTATATCCCTGATATCACCTTCACAATCAAATCATCAATTACTACTTTTCTTTTCCCCGTGGATCATTTATAAGAGAATAAAATTACGCTATTTCAGAACACTGTTGTCTGAACACATACTAAAAGTTATGTTCTTTCTCTTCATTTTTTTTCAGAATATTTATCTTCTTGTGATGTCAAGAAAACCCATTTTCTTTGCTTCAATTGGATACTCATCTTAGGCAATCAGAAATAGTACACGGCGATTTACACGTAGCAAAGGGTGTATTTCACATTAAAGAGATACAACAAATAATACACTTAAGCTAGAACTGTGATTCATATCTGAGTGAATTGAAAATACAGAAAACTACTGATCAGAAATAATGGGGCTAAACTGCTTACAAATCGTATAAAATGGCTATAAACGTCGAACTACACATTATATCCAGTTCAAATGGCTTATATAATTATTAGCACTTGGTATCAAACGGATTCAAGCGTTCTCTGAGACAATCAATGTAGAGGCAGTAATAATATTGTTATATGATGACATTCTTTTGCCTGGAGAACTCTAAAATTATAAGATCAGCCATTTTAGATTGAACAATCTCCCAAAAAAACCGAAAAGCATAAATTCAACATGACAGCTCTATCCCCACCAAATTCGTTGAGCTTCCTCATACAATTTGCTGCAAATTCATGACAGATCTTATTTCACATATGACAAAACTGAGTAGCCAGAAAAAATAAGAAGAAGAAGAAAACGGAGGCATAAGAGAAATGAGAAGCTCGTACAGCTTGCTGGCGGAGGCGTCATCGTTGGTAGCTTGGACCGCCGCTCGGTTGCTCCGGTTATCGGCCGCCGGTTTCGCCATCAAATCGTGCTCTTCTCCACGCGAAAATGGGAACAGTAAAAGAGAAACTGACGACTTCAGTTGAAATGATTTAGAAATCGCTCTCATTGTTGGAAATCAACCTATGAGATGCAATTTGGCCACGACTTACGAAAGTAACGAAACATTTGGGACGGGTTGAATAAGTTTAAATGATAGTTTAAAGATAACTATGATATAACCACCTCGAATAGTTAGCTCAGGGTTGGGCGTTTTCAGAGAGCTTCAGCTGCAGCTCGATATTAGCATTTGACTTCGTCTGAGAGTTCACTTAGACAATCGACCTGGTTGGAAGACTTAGTGATCGGAGCTCGGACAGATGAGGGGATGTTACGACCTGGAGGTCGTATAAGTAAAGATCGGGCTATCGACCTAGTAAGAGCACACGACAGCCGGGTCAATAAAGTGCATCTGGAAGGCTAATCGAAGTTGGTCACATCCGTCGATTGATCTGGGGGCTAGTGAGTGATACCACCATTGGGATTTTGGCCCTATGGTGAGAGAAAATACGGCAGCGCAAAGCGTCATTGGCCAAGTGAAGATCTATTCATGAAGTATATTGCACCAGATGTGCGTCGGGATCGAAGTCTCCGTTGTAAAGACTGATGTGAGGTACCTTTATTTGGGCGAGCACCACCTCCGCCAGGATGTGCGAAGACATAAGTGAATTCAGATCGACCAAGATTGTCGGACTTAAAGTAGGATGATGAGAGTGAAAGTTTTGGGTTGATGGTTACCGGAGGCCATATTGTTGTCTGGCATCTAGATTGACAATCCGCTGCCTCAAAATTGCGATCTCCACCGCCTCTTTGTTGAATAGAGGCTTTGATTTATTAAGGCGGTGGCGGAGGTCGGTGTGCCTTGCGTTGGTGCCGAGGCGATTGAACATGGAGGGGTTGACATACTAAACCCGACATCTGATTGACCCTGACTCTCTCTCGTGCCCCTCTTGAGAGGGGGTGGCAACACTTTTTCCTTTCTCCTTTGTGTTTCGCGTTTCGCGCAAGGCATGTGAGTTAACCTCATGGGAGGCAGAAAGTTTAGGAGCAACGATTTTTTGTATAGTTTAGGGTGACAGTTTTTTTGGTGTGTGGATTATTGGAGGAGGTGGTATGAAGGATTTGAGAAAAAAGATTGATTAACCATTTAATAAAAATAGGGTTTGTAAAAGTTTGGTTCATATTTGCAGAGAAAGAAGGATGATCTTGTGAGTTGTTGGTATTGTTATTATCACACGAATTGTTGGATGACGACATGATGATGAGTATAAAGGTAATGTATGTAAGGAACAAGATAGCGAGAATTAATAGTGAATAAAAGATTTACCAAACTTAGTTTTGGGGCTCTTCCTTTAGCTAATTTATTAACAGTCGATGTCAACAACAATAGATAAAACGAATTTAGTGCGTAATAAAGGCAAATCAAGATAAACTGTATGAAGAAATTTAATGCATGCTTAAATAAGCTTGCACATGTTTATTATGCTTTTTGATAGCTTGAGGTATATTTAGATGATTTTCTGATGTACATGTCATGGCAACTTATACATGGTAAAAAGTAAAAAATCATCATGACTCTTTAGTGAGTCATGGGACATGTGGCACGTGTCTAGGGGGTCTGCTTCATGCAAGGTGATTAGTGACAGTCCACTTATTTAGGGGTGAAACAGGTATCCGATATGTGATCGGTAATCCTCTTCATACTGGATGGTGTGAGTGGGTTGGACGGCAAGTTTTACATTGAAAGACAAGATTGATATGAAGAAAGTTTGATATGAGACAAGATCGGCATAATAAGCTCTAAGTTGTGGTCAGTGCCAATATTAGGATATCGGTTACGAACGCAAAGTGCTTATTTGTTTTTGGAATGCATGGAGTGTCGATGATACATTATGATGTCGGGGATGCAAATTTGAATGATACCACCAATGTAATCTTGTTCCAAGGTGCTAATAATGCTCCACGTTATTATTATTTATAGGTTAAACTAGATCGACAGAAAGTGTACATAACAATTAGGTCAACAAACAAAATAGTTAATCCAATACTAAAAAATCTGATGTCTATATACACTAGGTTGACCGTTTTCAGGCTATTTTTAGTCTTTTTTATATTTGTGTTAATAAAAAATAATGAATCAAAATAAAATAATAAGAACATTATAACATGTTTTGTTTTCCTTATAAGCAAACCACCACCCCGCAAAATAATATTTTCAAACTTTTTTGATTAGTGACAATAGATATATGATTTGATACATTAATAAAAATACCTCATCATGGCTCAGTTGTCAACACCCGTTAATTGTTGTCGCTCATTTCTCTATTCACATTCAATTTTCAAAAGCCAGACAGTGTAATCCCCTAAAGTGTGCAATCAATCTTGTTCCTTCTAAACAATTGTTTAAATAAATGAGTAATATGATTTTACACAAAAAATATAGTAAAGTTAAATAAAAGAAGTTCTTACTCTAGGTACATGAAAGTAAACACAATCATTTGTGTTGGAATCCATCAAACCTCTTTCATTTGGATGTATCCAATTTCAACCACCAGACCAATTAGATCTACAAATAAATTGTAAACTTATTATAATTTTAACATAAAATGGTAAATGATACGAAAAAACAAATAAATTAATAAAAATATTACCAAATAGCACAGTTTGATCTTGACGTACAACATAACGGAGAATAACAAAGTTTTCCAAATCAAACCGGAAAAGGGGAGGTCACCTTTGAACTTCACCAAATTGGTCATACCGTGGACCACAATTTTAAATTGGGCACTGGTGAACCAAAATGAACATTAGTTACTCCCTACTTGGTATCTTTTTAATTCCAAAGACATACCCTTCTTTGACTTTCTCTATCCATCTTTTCATATGTGCAGCCTGTATAATTTCAATGATAAAGACATCTTTATAATAAAAATTCAATACAACATAAGTATAAAAGTTATTTAGGAAAAAATTAATATTATTATATTTATTTGCACGAATTGAGGAAAAAATAAATTGAATCTCACATTCTCATCACATAGTAAATTCATACAAATTTGGAAAAAATATGATTTTTTTATGGGAAATAGTCAATAGTTTTTTTTTTTAATTTCCAGATATATTAAATAGTATTTTTTTTATGAAAAATAGCTAATATTTTAAAAAAATCAAACCTTCTTATACATGCATAAATACATTTTTTATAATTTTTTTTAATATTTTAAAAATAATCAAAACTTCTTATAAGTATATGTATATGCTTTACATGTATGGGGAGATGTTGGGGTAAAATCTACCCCATATCACAATCTCGCCATTGCAGCTATATTATCTTGCCAAATAGTCAAATACACGGGTCTTATTACCTGGCCCTTGGGATAAAATCTACACAGACATAGCAATTTATACCTTCCCTGTTGCCGCCACACCTTGCTTCTCAGTCAAGGCAGATATGGACATCCACAGTGTAATCCAGCAATGACCCAAGTAGAATCGCAGACGCCATGGATATGGACCCCAAGAGAGAGAAACTGTCTCTCTCTCCTCCAGGCCAAGCCCCCTCGCTGCGCCGCCCTCCTCCAGATCCACGCCTTCATGCTACGGAACCTCCTCTTCACCAATCTCAACCTCGTCGCCAAGCTCATCGCCGCTCTCCCCTCCGCCGACCCCCATGGCGGCGCCCGCCACGCCCGCCGCCTGTTCGACCGAACGTCCCACCGCTTTTCCGACGCCTTCCTCTGCAACACCATGATGAAGTCCCACCAGGCCTCCCGCCAGTTCTCAGAGGCCATCGCCCTGTACGCCCGCCTCCAGAGGGCGGCGGCGGGATTCTCGCCGGACAACCACACCTTCTCTACCTTGGCCAAGTGCTGCGCCGCCACCTCCTCCGCTCGGGAGGGGACCTCCGTGCACGGCCACGTCATCAAGTACAGGTTTGGGTCGAACATGTACGTAGCGACCTCGCTGGTCGACATGTATGGGAAGCTGGGCCAGATGGGCCACTCCCGAAAGGTGTTCGATGAAATGCCCGGGAGAAGCCCTGTCTCGTGGACCGCCCTTGTGACCGGGTACATCAGGAATGGGGACCGCAAAAGAGCTTTTCGACCTAATTCCTGATCACAATAGAGACACGGCTGCCTACAATGCGGTGATCGATGGTTACTTGAAGCTGGGGCAGATGGGGCCCGCAAGGCTCCTATTCGACTCCACACCGGACAGAAACGTGGTGTCTTGGACGGCCATGATCGATGGCTACTGCAGTTGTGGTGACGTGGATGAAGCTCGAGTTCTATTTGATACCATGCCATGCAGGAACTTGTACTCGTGGAATGCGATGATCGGAGGGTATTCCCGGAACAAGCGGCCCAATGACGCGGTTTTTCTGTTCAAGGAATTTCTGGCGGGAAACTTTCTCGAAATGGATGATGTCACTGTCGTGAGCATCCTTCCAGCCATTGCGGATTTGGGCGCTCTCGATTTGGGGAATCGGGTTCGCGAATTCGTGAAGAGGAAGAAGCTCGATAGGTACGCGAACGTTTCGACTGCACTGGTCGACATGTACGCTAAGTGCGGGGAAGTCGAGAAAGCCCGGAGCTTTTTCGACGGCGCACGAGCAAGAGAGACGAGCACTTGGAATGCCTTGATTAACGGCCTGGCGCTCAACGGGCGTGCGAACGAGGCATTGGATGTGTTTGTGAGCATGACGGAAAACGGGTTCGAGCCAGACGAGATTACTATGCTTGGCATCCTCTCGGCGTGTAACCACGGTGGCCTTGTGGAGGAAGGGAAAGGGTATTTCCGTAAAATAGAAGAATTCAAATTGGTTTCTAAAATCGAGCACTATGGCTGCCTAATGGACCTCTTGGGCCGGGCGGGGCGGCTGGAGGAAGCCGAGAGGCTGATCGAGAGCATGCCTTATGAGGCGAACGAGATTATACTTAGTTCTCTTTTGTTTGCGTGTGGGTGTGCTAAGGATGTGGGAAGGGCGGAGAAGGTGGTGGAGAGGGCGTTTGTGATGGAACCGGCTAACGATGGCAATTACGTGATTTTGAGGAATTTGTATGCGTCACAAAGGAGGTGGAGAGATGTGGAGAGGATCAAGAGGATGATGGTGGTGGGAGGGGCTAAGAAGGAAGCTGGCTGTAGCGCAGTTGAGGTTGATGGACAACTTTGGGAGTTTAATGCGGGGGAAGGTGGACATCCGTATGCTGAGGTGGCACGACGGGTGTTGGATTGGCTGCGGTTTCACATGGAGGTGTGGGACCCCACTTGTCGATGCAGATTGAGGGGGGATTGGATCTTGAAATATGAAAAGGTTGTGGTTTTTTGTGAGGGTCTGAGATGAGCAGGCTTGGAATTTTTGTTTTTTTTTTTAGCTGCCTGAGTCTTGTGAGTTTTCTGATGAGCAAATGCACGTGCGCGTAAGAGGATTGGGTTTGTGTTGGGAGTTGGTTGCTGTTGCGTTTGGAAAGGAGGCTAATTTGGATTTGACCGTAATAATTATGTGAGACCATTGACAAGATTGTCTTGAAAAGATGCGAGAGTGCGATGCGTCTTTTTTAGGTGAAATTCTAGCGTTTAAAGCTTTTCTGATTTCCTGAAAGAAGACGAAAAGTAGACTGCGAACGAGCGAACCTTTTGAGCCAGCAAGTGGTGATGGTGGCCATAGGAACCACCCTGTGACAAATTTCATTACCTACACTGGATTCGAGGAGTTTGTGCCAAGAACTTGCACCTAAAAAAGGTCCAGAGAAACCTTTTATGTTTGAACTCGCTTTTGACATATATACAATACGGGGCTATCTGTTAAAACCCAGCGGCAAATTGTGGATTTATCATGTTTTTGTTGAGATGGCTCGTCACGTTATTACCTTTTGTGGGGGAAAGATATCTTTTGAAATATAAGTGCACTGACTGCGTTTCTTTGTTGTGCTGAGTTTTCGTCTTGTTAGTTTGAAGATTGTTGAAGAACAGTAAATTCAAATTTTTATTAGGAAGGAGAAAAATAGTCCACTACTCTGAATTTTCATGTCCTGTTGAAAGTTGTGATGCAGGTTCACATGCATAATTATTGAATGCAAATGTTGTGATTTATAAGCTTGTTATGTCAAATATTGATTCCCTCTCATGTTTGAATGCATATGTTATATTTCTCATATAGCTTGTTATGACAGTTGTTTTCTCTATTTTTGGACATACTTACGGAAAAAATAGAACAAATTATCAGTCAAAAAAAGTATCAGCGTGCACTTCTATTCCTTGTATAGAGCCACCAGGGGCAATATTTGCATGTTGAACTCTGCCAAGAAAAAAAATTCTTCCTTAACTTTCCATACCTCTTCAATTTAGATAATAACGATTGAAAAAAAATCCTTCACTTCCTTCACCAGGGGCAATATTTGCATGATGAGCTCGTTCGTTTGTTAATCGAGCTGAGTTTGAAAAGAAAATTAGGCTAGTTTAATAATCGAACGAACACGAGCTCGTTCGCGAATGTTCAATAATGTTCGCGAACATTAATTTTTCGGAACGAAAGATGTATTATATCATAACTCAAGAGGAACAAAGTTCGAATACAGACGCGACCAAAAGCCGAAAATAAAAGTGAGAGGACACGCTAAAGAAGCGGCCTAGAGACCCATACACGGGTAACACAACAACCCAAGAAAAAAGAGGAATACTCACCAATACCACTGCCAAAGCCTAGCATTGTGGACTATTCCCAATAAAAAGCAAAAACATAGACTAACTACCAACGAAGGAAACAAAAACACAAACTAAACACAGCAAAGTAAAAAAAACAGAAGAGAAAACCTAACTAAGCATTCTCATAAGGAGAACTAACTGAAGCTGTGAAACTGGAGTTAGATGGAGCAGCCAGAGAACTCCATCCAGTCCTTGGTGGCAGCCATCACAGCTCTTCTAACTGGCATTTTTGTGTCTTGAAAAATCCACATGTTGCGAGTCTTCCACAACCACCACAGCAGGTAGGTTGTGAGTTGAATTCTTGCCATTGCTGTATCAGATTTTCCCAAGGAACATATTTGCCACCACCAATCTGCAAAAGTCATGTCAGGTTCTGAAAAATTTTCCCACAGCAAAGGACTACACTCCCAGAAAAGTTTAGCTCGTGCACATTGGAAGAAGACATGAGTCACAGTTTCTGCAGCCTCTCCACAAGATTTACAGATGTGATCCATGTGTACCCCTTTCTTCAGCAGGTTAGTTTTGACAGGAAGAGTGTTGGTGAAACATTTCCAAATGAAATGTTTGATCTTATTGGGAATGCTCAGCTTCCATGTTCTTTTCCTTGCCTTCTTGATCAATTGCTGGTTGGAGCTGCATTGAGGAATGTCCATTGCCAATCTTTTGATGTTTATAAGGTGGGAGTAAGATGAAGCTACTGAGAACCCTCCTTTTCTGTTAAAGCTCCAGTATTTGAGGTCTTCCTTGCTGGGATTTAGAGATTTGATATTCAGAATGGCCGTGCTCTCTTCAGCATTGAAGACTTGTGTGATAAGCCATTCATTCCATCCATGGCCAGTGGGATTCATAAGGTCCTTCACCCAGATCAGATGATCTCTAGCAAGTTCCAGCAGGTTAGGTGAAGTGGCTGTGAGAGATGGGATCCAGTTGAAATCAGAAATTTTTGTTGATTCCCCATTTCTGATCTGAATTTTAAAGCCTTGGGAGAAGATTGGCAATACTTCTAACCATGAGTTCCAAAGCCAGGAGCTATTTTGATTTTTAGTGGCCTCAAAGATTGAGTGGTTTGGAAAATATCTGCTTTTTAACACTTTACTGACCAAAAGGTGTGGCTGTGTAGTCAATCTCCAAAGTTGTTTACAGATCAAAGCAATATTGAACAGTTTAACATCCTGAAAACCAATTCCACCTTCCTCCTTAGGTAGTGTCATTTTGTCCCAAGACCACCAATGAATGCCTGGTTCCTGGTTTTCCCCTCGGCTCCACCAAAAAGCAGCACAAAGTCTGGAAATTTCTTTGACAATGATTCCAGGTAGCTTAAAGCAGGCCATTGTGAAAGTTGGAAGAGCACTTATCACTGCTTTGATCAACACTTCTTTTCCAGCAGGGGAGAGAAGTTTGTTTTTCAAGTTCTGAAGTCTAGCTCTTACAGATTGGAGAACATAATCAAATGCCTCTTTCTTGGATTTCCCTATTCCTAGTGGAAGGCCAAGATATCTTGTGGAATTGTGTGAGCTGATGCCTTGGAGATGGTTACAGATGACAAGTTTCAGAGGGGTTGGAGAGTTCCTGCTGAAGAAGATGGTGGACTTATTTAAGTTGACTTTCTGCCCTGTGAACAATTTGAAGTTTTCCAGAATGGATAGTAGCTTGTGAACCTGACTAACATCTGCTTTGCAAAATAAGAGGACATCATCTGCAAAAAGGAGATGGGAAAGTACCGGGCCTTCCCTGTTAAGCTTCAGTCCAGTAAGAGTCCCCTCTTGAATTGCATTTGTGATCATAGCAGTTAGCAGCTCGGCTACAATAAGAAAGATATAGGGGGACAGTGGGTCCCCTTGTCTAATTCCTCTTGTTGGGAAGATATCTTTGCTGATGGAGCCATTAATCTTGAAAGCAAGGGATGATGTGGAGAGGCAGGCCATTATCAGTTTGACAAAGGAAGGATGAAATCCCATTTTCAGCATGATTTCTTGAAGACTTTGCCACTCTATTCTATCAAAAGCCTTCATTAAATCCAGTTTCAAAGCCATAAAATAGTTTTTGCCACTTCTGTGTCTACTGAGAAAATGGAAGACTTCTTGTGCTATAATCACATTGTCTAAAAGTTGGCGGCCTTTTAAAAATGCAGATTGGCAAGAATTGATACAAGGGTCCAAACAAGCTTGTAATCTGAGGGCTAACAGTTTAGAAATGATCTTGTAAATAACACTACAAAGGCTTATGGGTCTGAATTGCCCAATGGTGTCTGGAGCTTTGCATTTGGGAATTAAAGTGACAATGGTTTTGTTCCAATATTTGAGAATCATGCCTGAGGAGAAGAAGCTTGTAATACCTGCTATAAGGTCAGCTTTAATGATTTGCCAGCAGTTTTGGTAGAATATTGGGCTCATTCCTTCTTCACCAGGGGCTTTTTCAGGAGAAAGGCTGAAAAGTGCTGTATGGATTTCCTCCTCTTCAACTGGTTTGATAAGTTCAGCATTCATCTCTGGAGTGATGGTTTTTGGGATCAGTGGTAATAGATTCTCCCCACCTCTGGATCCCTCTGAAGTAAAAAGGCCAGTATAGAAATCAGTGATATGGTCTGAGATATCAGAAGTGGAGTGAAGGATTCTGTGGTTGCTGTCAATGAGTCTGGTTATGGAGTTCATTTTCCTCCGTTGTCTCACAAAAGCATGGAAGAATTTTGTGTTTCCATCTCCAAGTTTCAACCAGGTGGTTCTGGCCTTTTGGTGCCAATATTGTTCTTCTTGACTGTGAGCTTCATTCAGCTTTCTTCTAGTTGTGTCCCATGCTTCCCAATCATTTTCAATGCCTGCAGTTCTCAGATTCTCCATTTGAGATGAGAGGTCATTGATTTTTTGGGTTCTTTGTGATCTGAATTGAGAGCTCCATTGCAGAAGAGCAATTCTTGTGTTTTTGATCTTTTCCTTTAGGTTAAAAAGAGGGGTGCCTTGAGTGGGAATGGACCAAGCTGAGAGAACCACTTCTTTGAAACCATCTATCTTCAACCATCTTGTGTCGAAGGAGAATCTTTTCTTTATTTATTTGATTTTTTTTATATATGTACATAATATTTTTAATAAAAAATCTAAATACGAAAATATTATTATTTTATTATTTTATTTTCGAGTTCGAATGAACAAATTTCGAGTTAGTCAAAGATATTTAAAAAGTTTATGTCCTAAATTATTCAAACACGAACTTACTCGAACTTTGACGAACAATTATACGAACGAGCTCGAACACGATTTTTTGCTCAAAAAATAAACAAACGAATACGAACACTGTTCGAACTTAAACGAACAGGAGTTTGAAATGCACAAGCTTGGCTCGCTCTGTTCGATTACAGCACTAGGCCACGGCCTGGGCCTGGGCTTGGGTCTGGTCTTTGGCATTTGGACTGTGGGATGGACTTGGACGGTTTAGGCTGATTTTCGGCTTGGGCCTAACCCTTGTAATCTTATTGCTGCAAATCTATTTACAATCTGTGATCCAAAATAAAATCCAAAGTGAATTGGGTTTGAACTTGGGTTTTGACCCAACTTGTGTGGACCTCTCCAGATACAATGTATCTTGACATGTAGACTCTATTTGACCGTTTCAGAAGTTATTAGTCAGAGTAGTTGTGTGTTAACACCTCTAAACGGCCTGACCGTTTTCTTCCCATTACAATAGTCATCAGTGAACCGTTATCTTTCCTAATTGGCAGGTGACCAGAGGGATCCCCTAACTAGTTGAAAGTCCTATAAACAGGACATGGTAGAGCTACAAAAGAAGAACACATAACACCATCTGCATATTTGCTATTCCAGAAAGTCTCACGCATCATACATAAGTGCTCACTTCTCAACTCCGTTCAAGTTTGTCGGAGCTCGAAATTATGAAGTGTTATAGCTTCTGAGACGTAGTCGTTGTATATTTGGAGACGAGACACTTGAATCCGTCAACACATTACGGGACGTATTCATCTTGCAGAAAAAAGCAACTCTCACCTCGACTTACTCTCTTCCAATATCAAGCCTTATTGTTT